CAAGACGCCGCGGGGGCTGCGGCTGCAGGGCTCCCCCACAACCCCGAGGGCCATACCAGGATAGACCCCTGTGAAGGCCGGCAGGCGGTCGTGGAAGAGGGCGAGGCGCTGGCCCTCCGCCGGCCCCGCAGGATCGCCATCGCCACCCCAGCGCAGTCCCGGGGCCGAACTCCCTCCGAGGCCACTCGCTGGAGTCGAATCGAGGCCGCAGGCGGCCCCCCCTTCCTCCCCTACTAACCACGATGGCATGGAACTGAGCGGGAGGTCCTTCGTCAGGGCCTGCAGTGCCGGGAGGTAGGAAGCCTCGTCGTCGAGGTCTGAGATGACGTAAAACTCCCACGGGTGGAGGGCTGACGCACCAATGACGTCGCGCGCCTGGGTGAGGATCCCCACCGCACGGTACACGCGCGGGCCTTGATGGCCCCCAGAGGAACGACCCGGTGCCGAAGCCAAATCTACCTCCTGAAGGGGACCTCGGTGCATCGCGTGATGGGCATACCCACTGCCTTCGTCCGATGGCTCCGTTTTGATGCCGTTGAGGTTCTCCTGTTCTAGTTTCGTGGAGTTGAGAAATGGGCTGCTTTGGATAAAAATACGACGGAGGAGATGCTGGTAATACTTTAAAAGGCTTCGCCGTACGGAGAGAGAATTGAGATCCTGTGTACTGCAATATGTCATTGCATGAAAATTTACTACACTGCGAGCATCTATTAAACACTCAGAATTACTTGTGGAGATAAATTTGAAATCATGTTTGGTGTCAACCTTGGCAAGCTGCTGCGGGATAAAATCTCTCTCGACTCTAATCGGTGGGTGGACTTCACCCAACAGAAGCTCAAGATTTTTTGTCGCATGCCAACGCTGTTCGCTAGACATGTTTTTTTAATTTTTAACTAGTTTAAATTACGTTTTCACTCCTCCACTTTCAAACGGGATCCGTTGGATCCAGATGATTTGGCTTATCAAGATTAAAAAAAAGACCAGAAGTAAATATAGAAATCACATGAGTATTTTCCTTACTTAGACAACAATATGCATTAGTGAAAGTAATGCTTAAAACATCATTACATAATTTTTTTGATGCCCAAAATTCCATTTTCTCTACTTGCCATGGGCGTTCAGTTTTATCCATCCCTTTCTAAAATCTATTGCTGCACCATGCAAAAGGAATATAAAAGAAAACTCATAAAAGACTCGAACTATCCTTTGATCACTCAACATGTAAGCAGCATTCCTTTGCATAGATTTATTCATAAAGGTCTAATGGTCGTGTGATAACAAAAATACAGTTAACAAATAAAATCACAATAACTCCCAAACATAGAATAATGAAAACATCTCACGAAACTGTTTTTTATTTTCCAATAAAAGAGTAGAACTTCGCAAAATATATATATATATATTCATTTCCCCATGTGGTTAGCTGCCGCCATATCAAAAATGTCCGACATGTGCGCATACTGCTTACCCCAAAAACCACCTACACTTGACGCTTCTGTAAGGTACCGTTCCATCTCATCATCTTGACTTTCTAAATGAGCTGAAACCACCGCCAGGTTCACCAACGTGTTCTCGTCACTCGATTTGATAGAGAGCGCGTCTAGCAAGGCTCTTTTCGCCTTGTCGTACATCTGCAATCCCATAAGAGAAAGAGCGATTAAATTTAAAAGTCTTACGGTATTACCGGTGCGCTCTATAACATCCGTAAACGAGTCGAGGGCTTTCTGATAAAACTCCTTTTGCTGGGTCTTCTGAGCTACGTACAGCGCATGGATACCGATGTAGAGCAGGGTGATCAAAGCCTCATCGTTCACCTTCTCCATTGCCGCGACCTCGCAGCCAGTCTGGTCTATTTGGTTAAGCTGGATGAGGCCCTCCACAATAAGCGCATGGAGCTCAATATGTTGATGCGCTTCGAGCGCGCTGTTCGGCGCCTCAAGCTCTTTTAACCACTTCCGCGCAAGCACCACCGCGGCGCCGTAGTCGTGAACCAGCAGCAGCGCCGATCCGGCGAGGATCGCGATGGAAAGCTGCCGAGGCTTCGGCTCCGCCGCCGCGGTGGTCAGACGCGTCAGGGCCTCCTGTGCGGCAGGACTCAGCGCCGTGTTCAAATCTACCCGCAAGGGGTCCTTCCCCATCTCGGCGTACAGCTTGGCGTAGTCGGACAGAGCCCGAAGACGTGGGTCTGTTGCGGTGTGGTAGCGCCGTGTGACGCCGTCGTACTGGCCCAGGCCGATCTGAGCGCAGGCGACGAGGTGTTCCTGCTCAAGGGTAAACCGCGCGAGGTCCTCGCCTTTGGGCTGTGACGCCCGAACATTTCCGCACTCGGAAATGACCTGGTCGTAGTTCCCAATCACCAGGGCGTTGCGCGCGTCAAAGAGTTCGTCCGTCATGAATGTAACCGGATATGAGTTGTGCCAACCCCTAAAGAGAAATTGGGGAATCCTAGATGGGTACTATGTGGGGAGTGAATGAAACAACCACAACAACAACAACAACAAAGACGAAACCCGTGCGCAGTTTGGGGTGTGGCTATTGAAGTTTTCCTACCAGACTGAAAAAACGCTGACTATGAAAAAAATACTAATGCCATATTAGGAGGAAAAGCCGTAATGGGTACTATTTTCACCGAAAAAAAGCATAAAAATACAACAAATGATAGAATAAAGCAGAAAATAACAAGCTGCGTTGTTATTACCCGCAAAGTAACCACACAATCCTCAGATAGGAAAGGGGTATAAGTTATTTTTTGGTCTTTACCAACACACACAAAAAATTTACTTACTCACCAATTTCGTTTACTTTTATACCTTTTTAATTCTGTTAACCTTATTAAAAAACTTTAAAAAAATACATACAAAAAACCACCATGTTAAGAATTCCAAAGGAAAAGGATTCCAAAATATTTTTGTAGTATTTTTCAGTAAGCAAAAGAAGCTACTTTCCTCAGTGCTTAGGGCGAAAAGGAATAAAAGTGGCGATGCTAAACGTTGAAGTAAGTATGCTACAAATAGGTATCCATGTGAAAAAAACCTGATTCAAAGAAGGACAAAGAAAAAATCAAAAGGGAAAATGATATAATATTTCTTTTTGGGATGTACCCTTGTTTTTTTACTGCTATGATAAAAAGAAAACAAACATTGGTTTTATCTTGCAACAAAGTCTCTCAGAAATATGCATTGGCTAATAATCCCATCAACTATAAGAGACAAATTACAGATAAAAATGCTTCAGCAGTAATCAGACATATAACTATATTTTTTCCTTTGAAAATCAATGTTTTGATATTACATGAAGTCCATGTCAAGATTTAAACTGAAATATTTTTTAGAAGCCCTTGCCTAAATGAAAATTCACCATGTTGAATAAATCCGTATGTAAAGCCATATAAAGATTCACTATATAAAAATATACACGCGCCATTTATTGCATATCCCTCTCTCTTGCTGTAATGAGTGCGAAGGGGGTGTCAAAACGAACAAATTTAACATGCTCTAGTTTACCTTACAATAAAGTACTTACCCGAGAGAATAAAAGCAATATTCAACACCAAGAGACATAAACCCCTTTTCTCAGCAATTATTATTTATAAGAAAAACTCTACTTTTTATTTTAATATATGTAGGTAATATCAAAGACGCAACCTGTCCCTGCTTACTAATAGAGATCAATGGCGAAAAAAAAAGGAATATTAGTTGTTGTTTTTTCCTTGCTACTTATACTCCTCATTCGGTTTTTCACTCCTATTTCCCTCCTGGTGCTGCGGAGTGATTATTATAGTGCGGGTGCATCGAAAGCTCCTCTGAGCTGTGCGCGAAGGCGCAGTTCTCACCCCAGGAGCAGTTCCCGCCACTCTCTATATTCATACACATCTTTGTCTTCAGCTTGGAGCGGTCGATGCCGCGGTGAGGACGGGAGCCTCGGAAGCCGTTCACGCGCTCGCTACGCTGCATGACTTCAGTTGGGATTTGCCAGTGCGTGGTCCGCGTGTTGTGGTCGATGTAGTACATATCCCCATTACCTGTGTAGGCAACCTGCCAACCAGGGGGGAGCGCCATCTGCATGGCAGGTGCGGGGGCTGGATATCCCCCACGGCCTCCACGGTACGAGTTGTATTGGAGCATCTTGCTTTTTTCAAGGGTTTTATTCCTTCTTTTCTTTAGTTATTAGGTATTTTAACTCCTTTTTTTTTTATAAGAATAGGTTATCTTTAGAGATATAAGCCCTTTAGATTAATAACTTATTTAACAATCTGGCGATGAAGAGGGTTTTTATCTATCTATCTATATATATATTTATATAGAAGTATGGATTTATTCGGAGGAGAAATGGTAAAATATTAGTAAACATGCATCAAATCATCTTTTACGGTTGATCTTGTTATTATTTTTCTTATCTGATATCAAATAAGCCGACACGGGAAGAGAATCAAAACATGTTACTCGGAGATGACTTTACTCGCTGAAATACACAGAAATTATATAAATATTTAAAGTGGAAATTAGTGAATTATTACACTACCAAAGGGATTTCATCCACAAGGAGACCTACATTATAAGGCAACTTCGCTTTCGTATTTAAAAGCGTAGACATATTTTGGGGTTTCCCTCACCCCTAGGTGCCATGAAGATTGCAAGAACAAAACTTTCAACCACTGGCAGCTTCTTTTATTTGTTCTTTTTAAAGACTTTTTACAATTAGTATTATTTTTTAAGTGTTTTGTGGAGATGCCGCGACTTCTTTTTGGGCGCCGACGGTACATTGTTAGACTCAACAACCGTATCATCCCCCTCCCTTATACGCTTTCGTTGATCCTGCAAGATAGAACGAATCGTGGGATCGATTCCAGTGCCTTTTTTCTTGCGTTCTTCGGAGACTTCAGAAAGCCATGCCTCGGCCTTCAAGAAAACAACATTTTTCATCGCCTTTGACAACTGCTCGCTGCCAACTCCCATCATCGCATCAAGAACGACACGACCAGCCCATGGGGATACCGCCAAGTTGAAGACGTGCGGTTTCAACTCGTTCATAAGGAGCTTTCGCTCTTGATCAAGCTTCCTACTGCGGGTTTCGTGCAGGAGAGAACGAATAACATAGCAAGCGTGTTGATGAAGCGCGTACGAAACAATCGCACTTGACTGGATCTCGTAATGTCGAATACGATTGAGCGCGCGTTGGGCTTTAGGAGAGAGTCTTACCGTTTGAGACTCTTCCTCTTTATCCGATTCTTCGTTGGCCACCTCCACGTCTTCATCGGCATTCGCTACCGTCTCGGCCTCGCTTGTAAAGCGTTTGACCACCTCTATAATAACCTCATCCGTCGCGTATGCAAGCAGTTTTTGCATCACACGCGACCCCTGCGAGTGAGATAGAGTCTCGCGCAGGTTCTCTACAAATATCGGGAAAAAATGTTCGCGAACCATCGCCTCCCGCAAATCCTGCGGGGCGAACTGCAAGAGTGACTGGAGGAGATAAGATGCTGAAGAGTGGTTAATAAGGCCCTCGATATCGTTTTGAATAAAGGCATAAATCGCGCCGGCGGCCTCACCTTCGGCACCGTCCATCTCGATCAGACGCTGAAGCACGGGTGAACTCACAGGATTCTTTGAAAGTTCAAGACTCTTACTGTAGAGCTGTAGTCGGTCTTCCTTCCCAAGCCGTGCAGGCTCCACGTCGATGAAGGCGCGAAGAATCATGCTACGCACAGAATCCTGCGCAAGCATCTCCACTGTCAAAGCCTCCTCCGCCTCCTCCTCCTCTTTTCCAGCACCATTAGCGATCTTCGCTCGGCGATGGAAAAGAGCCTGCCAAACCGCCTCTCGGCTGCCCTCGTGCGATTTCACCGCCGCCACCACCACCGGGACCGTCTCACGCCGCGCAACAATCCACTCCAAAAGGTCCCCCTCCTCTCGCTTCCCTTTTTCTCCGTCCTCTCCTTCACTTTCCTTCCTTTGTGGGTGTTTTGGTGGTTCGCAGATGGATGTCCAAAGTGCCTCCCTTTGAGCAGAATCGCCGTGCTCGAAGACGGCGACGAAGGCGTGCGAATGGCGAGCCGCCGGTAGATGATCCCCGCCCCCGTCAACCGCTGCTGCCGCCTTCCGCCGCGGCAACGGATTTGAGAACTCCGGCATCGCAAACTCCTCCTCCTTCGCGAGTCGCATCGGGGTCTCGCGAGGGTGAAGATAATCCTCCGCAAACTCGCACAGGTGCGCACAAATCGCGTCTTTGACAGAAATCGGAATGAACACTTGGCGAAACAACGCGGCGATGACCATCGACTCAGCCTCGGCGTTAAACAACTGCGCGAGGCCGTGGTCGATCGCCTTGGATGTGGCTTCGTCAGCTTTGTCGTCGTCGTCGTCGTCGCCGCGGGCGATTCGTTCCCACGCGGGTCCCGGGATCAGCGCCTGCAGGACGCGCCGTCCGGCGTCCGCCCCACCCTCCTCTACATATCGCGCGACTACCCGCATGCCAAAAGAATCCACGGCGAGCCTCGCCAAGTGCGGGGTGAGGACCGACCCCAACACCTCAGCACCCTCAGTAAACCCCACTAGCCGCTGCGCGACGTGATTGCCGAAAGGATGGGTGCAGATCTGCAAAAATGCCTCGCCCTCGGCCTCGCGGCGGAGGTCCTCTGCGAGCTCCCGCCGATGCCGCCCGGGGAGGCGTTCAAAAAGGCGCTGGAGGACGACATTCCCCGTGGCCGACCGCGCGAGCGCGGCGATTTCGCGCCGGATGTGGTAGAGCATCCGCACCCGCGTGAGGTCGTCGGTGTGGTCCAGCAGAGTGAGAAAGAGATGGTGGGTGGTAGGGCTCAGGGCGAGGCGATAGGCCGCGGGGAGGACGGCCTGGATGACCTTCGCCCTCCCCTCGGGTCGGCCGTAGAGGAGAATGGCCTCGACCTGCCGCAGGGGAAGCGACCGGCCCGTCGCGACCCGCTGGGAGGTGTTCTTTAGAAAGTCTAAGCGCATCCTGGGCATCACGGATGGGGGGTGCGATCGCGTCTATAAGGGATAGGTCTGTCTGTAAATAGGTGTGACTGCAGGGAAGTGTAACTGCAGGGAAATGTAACTGCAGGGAAATGTAACTGCAGGGAAGTGTGTGAAAGTGAACTTTGTTACAAATGTGACAACGCAGCCCTGGCCTGTGTCAGCCCAATTGTCTTTGAAGTGGGAATAAAAATCTAACGAGACTAACCCCGGTGTGATTTCGCAAACCGGATAAAGCAAGCAGAGCGGGAGTGAGAAATGAGGTTGACTTTCGTTGAAACACAGCGCACGGAGAGTATTTTCCTCTCTTTTTTATTCTTATTTTTCACTCAAATATTTAAGGCTAATAGAGACATCATATACAAAAATGGGATTTTTTATTAATGTTCTTCATACATTATTTTCGTAAACCTTTCGAATGAAAAATGATTCACTACATTTTAGGACTACCGTTTGGGAGCAGTCGAATTTTGAGATCAGAAAAACGATGTCGAGGATAAATTATTTCAGCTATCTTGCAATCCCATCATCACAACAAAATCGTGCAGTGATTTCATGATAGCCTGTTAGATGTAATTCATCGTTTATCATTCAAATGGTTAAACATTCGGGAACGAAGAGAAGGAAGGATGCACTGTTTAAAATGAATTTTTATGAGTATGCCAAAACAAATGTATTTTCATATATATATATAAATACCGCATCAGGGCTCAATATTACCCTGTCCAATAATTCACTGGCGTAAAAAAAATCTTAATTGAAAATATTAAGTCCCTGTCTATTTACATATGAATGTGTATGTACATGCTCATGATAGTTTTTAAAAGTTTTCAACTTAAACATCCAATAACAACAACATAATTGGAAATATTAAATTGCTTATAAACACTATTGCTAATAGGTCGAGATGTCTGCTTATAATGCGACCATAACATACACAATGAATGACTTTTTTTTTAGCCTTTACCGCTTAGCCTTCTTCTCAAGCAAGAACTGACAGTAAAAACACCATACATGTTCTATTTGCTCCTCAACTATATTGATTCGCTGCCGCAGCATATCTTTTATAAAATCTGCAATTCGTTCCTTATAGTCCGCCTCAACCTGCGTGATATGTTCATTGAACTGGGATATCAGCGATATAAACAAAAGATCCTGCTTCCAATGAACCTTCATGAGGTGAGAGGTGCTGAAGGAGCCCAACTCGGTGGTAGGGCTCTGCCATTCAATAATAGTCCAATCATTTGCTACCACGGTGGATACCGGAATCGAGGCCTTGCGGTGAGAAATAGAAAGTGATATCCTTTTCCTAACCTCTTCCATTCCTGCTTCCCCCACCACCAGACCGAGCGACGGCGTCCGCGCCCTCTCGGAGCTTCCGATCCTCACCGATTCGCTCTCCTGCCTCTCGGTGATGAGGCTTCCCCGCTTTTCCATATCGGAAGAAAAGTTCTGCCAAATCCGCACGACCTCCGCCGTGGCGGCCTCCGATCGTAGCGTTTCCTCGCTCACCTCCTCAAACATCTCGTCGCCGTCGAGGGCCCTGCCGCGGGTCGGACTGAAATTGCGCAGGCGTTGGAGTAGTTGATCCGAGTGTAAAAGGGTCCAGTGCTCTTTGATCTCCTCTCGCAGGGCCCCCTCCTCGTGAGATTTGAACGCCTCGGAGGCCTCGTGGGCCTCGCGCCGGCGGGTTTGATGTTTGGCGTCGTACAGCCCATCCACACAGCGCCGCATTAGCGGAATCCACGCCTCAGATTCCGCCACGCGAATATCCCGCCGGCGCCGGATCTCATCCTGGTGGAGATCCACAAACGCGCTGGATCGCTTGAGGGCCGCGTACTGGCGAAGTTTCTCCTGGCGATACATTTGGAGCCCCTCCCACTCGAAAATCCGCTCCTCCTCGATCTCCTTCCCGAAGTCTTTGCTCGAGAACAGGACAAGGGCGCCGGCATTGCTGCCTTGGGTGTGCGAGCTCGTGTTATCCGAGCATTGGGTCCCTTTCCGGAGGGTCAGGCTCCGCTCCGTCAGGGTGGAATGCCGCGAGCGGCGGCTTTTGCAGGGGGGGCGAGGGCCGCGCAGCCGAGGGTCCGTCTTGGTGGTGTGGGGCAAGAAACATCCCGGCCCTATCGGGCGCCGCGCCTTCTCGACGGCGAAGACCTCCTGCAAGGCCTCCTGCTCCGCCGCGAGGATCTCCCTCCGGCCCTTCAAAAAGGCAGGGAGGAGGGCCGAAAATTGATGCCGTAGGGCTTTTTCAGCCCGCGCCCGCGCCAGACGGTGGGTGGTTTCCTTCCCGATCGTATCCAACATCATCTTTCGATCCCGCTCGCGAGATTGGATCTCGTGCACGGTGGCCTCGCCGTCTCGGGTAAGAGACATCAGCTCGGATATCGTCTGCAAGTATTTCACAATGTGCTTGGTATAGAAATGGCATTCCTCGAAGATCAGCAACTCCCGCCGTGCCGTCTCCTTTTTCATTAACTCCTGGAGTAATCGATCGTAATGGGATGAGGAGGCCGGGCTTCCTTCCCCTTTGAAGACAATTTGCTCTAACGAACTTTCACCGGTTAACGGAATGAGCGGGAGAAAGGATTCCCCTTTGTTGGGATCTTTCGGCGGGGAAGACCTCAGGAGCGGCACCCATCCCTCATCCTCCCCGGAAACAACAGGCGAGGGGGAGCCTCGGTAAGGGCCCACCACCCCCGACCAGGCATTCGAGACAAACCGGCGAGAGAATTTATTTTTCAGAAAAGAGGAAACGACAGGGCGCGCGTGGTGGGACGAGAGGCAAGGGAGACGAAATTCGGATTCCTCGTATGACCGCATCGTATTTGAAAGCACAGAAAAAAGGTTTAATATAGGGATGATTGATTAGATTAGTTCTTTGGACTAAGATGGAGTTATATGGGTCAGATTATATACACTGGCCTCAAAAAAAAAAAGAGAGAGATGGTCCTGAAGGAGAAGAAGTGAGAATAAGACCATTCTGAGTTGATAATGAAAGGCAGTTGTAGTCCAACAAACAAAAATAGACATATCGCGAATCACTTCTCTTGCGGGAGGAGTTAAAGATGAGCATTTCGGGAAACCCTGAGGGGATCGACCTAAAAGGATTATTTTTCTTTGATGACCCCACCTCCTCAGCCCTCATTCTGCCAAACTTGCCCCTCATTTCTCCTCCTCCTGAAGTCAAGACAACGCACGTTGATTGAAGAATAACCTCAATCCGATAAAATACTCCTCACCCATCGATTGGTTTGTTTGTTTATTTCCCCCTCCCCATTCAGTGAGGGTAGACAATCGGCACGCCGTTTTCGCCCATCGCTGTACGTCTTGACCAGTGTTTTTCCAAAGTCCCATCCCCCACGCGGGTGGGCAGCATTGACCCCCAAAAACTCGGATTATCCCCGACGTTGGTCGACCCATCGGGGCGATGGCGGGCGCGCACGCGAAATCGCCCCGGCTCCTGCGCGTGGAAGGCCAACAAAGCCTCGATCTCCTCATCCACCGGCAGCTCCGGCTCCGCCAGGTGGTGGCGTTCGTAGAACTCCTGAACCTGAATATCCCACGCCGTCTGAAAAAAACTCACGGCGGCAGGGGCCCTTGAAAGCGTCTGTTCGACCGCGCGCAGGGCGGCCTCCCCCGGCCCGCGAGCCGCGACGTCGTGCAGGCGAAATCGGCTGCGAAGGGAAAAAGAAATCTCCCCCGCGCGGGAAGGCCCGAAGGCGACCTTTTCGCGTTGTTTGTACAAAAGGCAAAGATGCCGGGAGGTCCCGGCGCCCTCCGTGGGCAATGGCGGGACGTAGGGGATGACCACCTCGCCGGCCTTTGGCACCACCGCCGCGGCAGGAATGGAAGTCGAAAAGGCGCCCGATTCGACGTCGCCGGGCAAATTCGCGATTAGATAATTCAAGAAAAACCCGTCCTGCGGGCGATGGCAACTCGCATAGTCCGGGACGCGGTACGGGTAGTCCGGGGAGAGGATCAGGAGGGTGTAAAAATCGGCCCGCGCGCCGCCCTCCCGGGCCTCGGTGATAAAGAAGACCGCCGGCGCCTGCTGGAGCTCGCAGAGCGGGATGAAATTACCGCAGTGCGCGGTAAACCAGAAGTTCCGCCGGCTGAGCGTCGACTCCGGCGGCGGCGGCGGCGGGGGCTGCCCGGTGGCCTCGTCCAAGACCGCGCGCGGGCGATACCGGCCGGCGAAGACGACGGCCAAATTCACATCG